GTTGAGATTTGTGCCGCAATTCCGTATTTCCTCCTATACCTTAAGTTAAGGGGGAAATATTCCCATCCATTGACACATCATGACCTCTGACCCTTGACTCCCAAATTCTACATCCCGAGTCCTTTTCACGATCCCCCCGACGTCCCGAATATCAAGACCGTACGTCGAGCAGTTATGATTTGTGCCCAACTGTTGATGGACGGACGCACGGACAATCATGCGATTCTACAAGCTGCATCTGACTTCGTCAGCTGAGCTAAAAATAAGAAAGAATAATTACATTCATGCACCTCCAATTCCACACTATGAATTTCTGAAGAACGTGGCCTTGGTTGCGCACATCGCCTTCCTAAGGAAACATAAGAAAATTAACTGAAAATCAAAGACATGTCCTATACATATAAAATATTTGCTAATTTTTTAAGTTAGGATGGCTCCCAAAATATCCTATATTTAAATTTAGCACTTTGAGTTTAGTTTCTTTAAGCGTGGGAATACGAATGAAATATATGTTTAGAAAAGGTAAGTATATGCTGGTCATTCTGCACTGCATTTAGTTTTTGGGAATATTTTCTTCTATGGGGTCCTATATTTCACAAACTATAGGCAGTGCCATCTCCCTTGCACCATATGCAGTAGTAATTTAGATATACAAAATAGTAAACTTTACAACATGGTTTTTAATGTAGTTTTTTTGTACAAATATTGTAGAAAATACTCACTCAGACACGCCCTTTTGAATGATGTCGGGGAAGAGACAGGTTCAATTAGAGGCAGCTGATCCTGTTGGACTGCACAATTGGTAAAAACTGAAAAACGTTATTCAAGTATGAAGGCTCAGATTAGACTAGTTTGTAGAGACTTTGGAATAAATGGATATATTGAAGAAGGCAGAAGAATCAATATAACAATATATTATATATACTTAAAATACTACTACAAAACCTATGCTAGTAGCTTAGAATCTTAAATTCATACTCACTTATGGGGGACTTCTTTTGGGTAGATTTGTGGGACCTTTTTCTAGCTTGGAACATGATGCTACGGAAGGCAGCAGCTATAAAGACAGCAACATTAATATAAAATACATTGGCAACAATAATTTCAAGTTACAATGAGATATTTATTTTTATCAAAATTATTAATGCAATACACACTAGTGCTGAGAGGGTCTATGTCCCTCAGGGTACTATCGGAGGGTACCCTGGGGGACATAGACCCTATGAGCTCAACTAGTTAAACAAGTACATTTAAAAAAAATAAAAAACACCAACAATTAAAACGTTTGGAAGCCATATGAACAAGTGTTGGAAAGAGACCCTACTACACCGATATATTTGGTTCTCATAAGGATTGACGTGTCACACATTACTCATGACCATGACATTGATGTTATGGTTTTTATATATTAGAGGGTTCAGGTACGTTTGTCAACAAGCTCAGAGATAATATATATAAGATATATATAAGAATGATTGTGACCTTTTTTGAAGACCTTACGAGGTGTCGGAGGAATTAAGTTTTCTTCTGGAATATCAAAGAAGATCATAACTGGGGGGCATAGAAAGACATGTTTCAAATATAACGTCAATAGGGGAGAAATACTTTTGATATAATTACTACAATAACACAGCCATTAATAATTATAGTGAAACAAATTTAATAGTCCCATGTTTCAAATGTGTACATTGTTACTGGGCCCATTAATTAGCACCAAATGTGGTGCTATATAAGTTTGTTTTTATGAATTTATAATGACATGTACATGGTTTGTTTACTCAAATAATGCCTCTGCACAAAAATGGAGGCCCACCAAAAGATGTATTGTTTCTGTGACCATAAAACTTGACTGACCTGCTTGATCATGCCCTCCTTTATGTCCGGTCCCTCCTCCGCCTTGCAGCTCTTGGAGATCAGTGCCTGTTGGTACTTCTGCGTGTGTATCTCCTGGGTGATTCGCTGCACACCATCGATCTTCACTGCCATCGCCTGTGGGGGAAGTGTGGAAAAGGTATGAAATCTTGGTTGCCAAACTAAACTTCGCTGTGCAAGTTCATTTACCAATGAAAGAAATGGAAGACCCTGTCTTTACATCGGCATTTAGTTGGTACATCACTATGATTGACTAAATTTAATCTATTAGGGATCATTTTATATTTGTGATTTAAATGTCTAAAAGCACATGCCTCCTTGTCTGCATGGATAACTGGTGGTTGAGTGGTCCTCTCTTGTATCTTCATCAGTATCCACATCTTCCTGTTCATTGTGGTTTTTAACATCTGGTGGTAAGAACAAAAGTTATTTAAATTTTTAATATGAATAACTTGTTGCAAACACATGTGTAATGTGGAATATTAATAGTGTTAACATAATACCATAATAACGACTAAACAACTAATTAAATGTAATAAATGTAAAGTTTGGTAAAATGTCTAAAGTAAAAAAGTCTTTCTTTGCAATCTCATGACACTTACTATCTTTACTGTATTGCAATGCATCATCAACCAAAGCAAGCAATTTATTCTGTGCACATCTAGGCCGGACCAACTCAGCCATTCTCAACAATTCACAGAATTTCCTCTCCAAAGCCCGTTTCAAAACTGAAAAAAGGTAGATTTTACAAAATCTCAGCAACATGTTATGGAAGATTGGTTGTTTAATTATGAATCAAGTGGAGCAAACGTACATGTAGTTTTTCACACGTAGGACACGTTTACTTATGGGTATCTACTCCCTATAGTTGACATGGAGAAGGGTGGGCACCAGCTCAACAATATGCTACATGGCAGACAATTGTCCATGCAATGCATTTGCAGTAAATCAACCCATAGCACGAATGCTTTCTGCAAGCTGACAGAGTCCAAAATATGGCTGAGGTTAATAAAACATTTTTATTTACAATGCGTTTTTTATTGATGACCCGTCCTACATTATATATGCCCCCTTCTATGAGGGGGCCAATTAAGCCCCCAACCCTGACATCTGGAGTACTCCATAGTTATGTACAGAATATACAAGAATGAAATTACGGATCATAAGTCAAAACACAGAAAAATCTATCTCATAACCTGGCATACGAATACGTTATGCTGTCATCACCGCGTACGACGTACTACAGCTTTTCATACAGAATACCCTATAATTAGGTCAGAATCCGGTGTACGAAAACGGCTTTTGATCCCCCTCTTCTATAACAAGCCAAGCATGGCCTCCTGTGACTGTCAAGGCATGATCAATTTACCAGACAGGCACATCTCCAGTCAGGATTCAGGAAATTGTGAGTGGGAAAAATGTTAATCAGAACTAGTACATGTAATCATGTCCACAAGAGTGTGACAGCTGAAAACATTGCAATTGGTAAGACTGCCCTAATAAATTACAAACCACTTGATGATGGAAAAGGTTCCTGAGTAGAGGTGCCATGAGCACACAACACTTGCTTAGCCCACTTCTCTCTGAAAACAAAGATGAGAGCTATTATATTAAAAAAGGTGAATTTCAAAGACAGTCAGAATAAAAATGAACCCAATAAAATATGACTCCTATTCAAGACCCAACATGCTACAAAATTCATAAAAATGTGGTTTTATAGCAGGTATTTACTAGAAGTTGTTACAAAAAGTTGCAAAACCCCTCCGGAGGGTAAACAATTGTGACCCACCTCACACATATTGTGCACTTCATAATAAATTACAACTTCTAGTTCTTCGAGATGCTCTATTTCTAGTGTTACCTAATACATATCCGCTCGATTGTATTGTAAAGAAAGCAGCTCTTCACTTTGCTTCTAAAATCACGATGATGTGCCAAAGGAAGTTTCTTTATGGATGTTTGTATATTGGCAGCCTTCACATCATCATACAACATATTATGCACTTGAAGGTATAGCCGTGTTCGGGCACCAAGAACATTATTGCGGCACAGCTCAATGCTTTTTTTGATTGATTGACATCCACCAGCCACATTGCCAGTCAAAATGTCTCTCACAAGTGGTTCGATGAAAAGAAATAGAGGTCCCCGTGGTGGTGCCATTATAGTAAAATGTCAATAAAATAATATAACACAAGGAGGTGATTGACGGCTTGATGCTTCACTCTCTTTGAAGCAGAAGATCGTGTTCGTGATGACTTAAGTCTTCCGTTCAATGTAAGCAGGACTTCACAACAGGAGAAAACTGAAAAGATAGGAAAACAGATCAGCATTGAAATGAGATGCTCTATTCCAAATCCGGCAAATGCGCAGTTTAGCCATCGCACACATGTACGCCATAGCATGTACTGTAACCACCGCTTGAAATGGTTTGGACTTTTATTCGTTATCTGTTACAAGATATTGCAGAGATCCAAATGTCGAACAAAAATCATGATCAAAGGCGAATGGAACATTATGTCTCGTGGCTTTCTCTATTGCCACCAAGGTTGACCGTAGAGAAATGATACGTGTTGCCATTTTAAATTTTATTTAAAAGTTAGATTGCTCCCGGAGCAGAGTACTGTAGCCCACAGCTATTACAGAACACTGCGCCCGTCTATCAATGACGTAGGGTGCCTAACTCATGGTTATTTTGTGAATAGTATTTTCCTACTTATCTAACTGTCGCGTTCAGGATACCACGAACTATATAGCTTTTAATGAACAGAACACATTTATTAACAAGCAACTCAATAACACAACCAGTTCACACAGAACCAGATCATGAATAACAAGTCGGTTTCAGTTTTGATTCTAAGAACCTTCCCGGGTGGCTCTAACACTATATTACTCATATAGTACCGAATAGTATCGTGACATCTCCCTCCTTTTGAGATTGTCTGTTACTCAACTGAATGTAGAACATTTTCTTAAACATATATGAGAATCGAATAATACATAATAATACAACCGTTTCTTTCTCCCTGGTCACGCAATATTTCACTATGCATTAACCCATTAAAATTTCCACAAAGCACTGGTTACTTTAACCACACTACTCGCTACCAATAATCATTTATCAATATCATCCCGAAAACGCAACGGCTTGCGCACTACCCGACCGCTTGTCCGTGGACCGGGTGAATGTGATTCCACATCCATCTCGTGTACATTATCTTCTGGAGTCTCAGTTCGTTCACCAGAAGATGGCACTGTCTCTATCTTCCTGTGGAATCCCAGGATACACCAATCCGATGGTTCGGCAACAATGCGCCGAAATCGAAGACATCTGAAGGTCAGCCTTGGTGAGGATGTGGCAGAAAACACCGGGAGTGGTTGTGAGTCAAGCCCATCCCTTCTCCCTGATTGCCAGCTAGACCCTGGCAAAAGGTTGGGATGGACTTGTGTGAGTTGGAAGGAAAGCGATATTTGGTCGTGATCGACTATTACTCTAGGTATTTGGAAGTGATGTACTTACCAGAAATCACGTCGAAACAAGTCATTGGTAAGCTCGAGCTTATTCGCAAGATGGGGCATCCCAGAGGAAGTCGTCTCTGATAACGGGGCTCAGTTCACATCAGCTGAGTTCCGGCTGTTCCAGAGTGAATACGATTTCATTCACACAACATCTAGCCCACACTTCCCACAGGCTAATGGTGAGGCCGAGCCTGGAGTGCAAATAGCGAAAGGAATCCTCCGCCAAGAGGATGTGTTTGCTGCATTAATGAGCTATAGAGCTACACCGATTGCAGCTACGGGTGTTAGTCCTGCACAGCTGATGATGGGACGGCAGATACGTACCAAATTGCCAACCCGTACTGAAAATTTAGATCCTAAATTGCCAGATCTTAAGAGGGTCAAGATGACAGATGACCGAGCTAAGACGAGCTACCGTCGGTTCTACAACAGACGTCATTCGGTGAAATCTCTTCCAGAGCTTGGACCTGGAGACATGGTACGGGTAAAGTTTGATTAATCACTACTCCAACCATCTACACAACAGAAGGAATAGGGCAAGACATAGCACAAGAGGTTTCTACTTGCCAGTTTTGCCAGACAAACCGGGTGTGGTGGCCAGGAGACATTTTGGCCCGTTCCCTACACTCAGTGATACCCTGGTGACCTTCATGGATCTTGCCCAGTATATCTCTTCTCCACTCGGTAGGGATTACCATACAATTTCGATACAGGAGCAGATCCCTTGACACGGATAGTTCACTCCTAACCGAGTAGAATGCCTTTACATCCTCTGGCACCGACTGAATCCTCTTCGGCCACCCCACCTTTGTGAGTCCAATCGCCCTCTGTAGCGTTGCATCGCGTACTGTCGCTCTTGTTATACGCTCGAGTTTCTGACTGGCTATGGGCCTCTGTTTGCCTTCTGGAGGTTCAGCAGTTTGTGGACAGCGCTCCACTAGTAAGCATAGAGGTGCCAGATACAGGACACACTGTCAAGAGCATGAACTTTTCGCATGCCCAAGTCCATACAGATACTGTGGGCTTATGGTCTGTCACCAGTTTAAACTCGCTCATTGGTTCCACTGATCAATAAACAGGACATAGAGCAAATCGCATGAGACGCATCAGCAACCTCTGGCACCTCAGCGGCGTTTTGTTGCTCTTGACAGTGTGTCTGCTACCACAAGCTCCTTACCAGGTGGTCAAGAGCACCACTAGTAAGCATAGAGGTGCCAGATACAGTTCTGGAGGTTCAGCAGTTTGTGGACAGCGCTGACGAACAGAGGCCCATAGCCAGTCAGAAACTCGAGCGTATAACAAGAGCGACAGTACGCGATGCAACGCTACAGAGGGCGATTGGACTCACAAAGGTGGGGTGGCCGAAGAGGATTCAGTCGGTGCCAGAGGATGTAAAGGCATTCTACTCGGTTAGGAGTGAACTATCCGTGTCAAGGGATCTGCTCCTGTATCGAAATCGTATTGTAATCCCTACCGAGTGGAGAAGAGATATACTGAGCAAGATCCATGAAGGTCACCAGGGTATCACTAAGTGTAGGGAACGTGCCAAAATGTCTGTGTGGTGGCCAGGAATAGGGCAAGACATAGCACAAGAGGTTTCTACTTGCCAGTTTTGCCAGACAAACCGGCCTACACAACAGAAGGAACCATTAATCACTACTCCATTGCCAGCTAGACCCTGGCAAAAGGTTGGGATGGACTTGTGTGAGTTGGAAGGAAAGCGATATTTGGTCGTGATCGACTATTACTCTAGGTATTTGGAAGTGATGTACTTACCAGAAATCACGTCGAAACAAGTCATTGGTAAGCTCAAACGCTTATTCGCAAGATGGGGCATCCCAGAGGAAGTCGTCTCTGATAACGGGGCTCAGTTCACATCGGCTGAGTTCCGGCTGTTCCAGAGTGAATACGATTTCGTTCACACAACATCTAGCCCACACTTCCCATAGGCTAATGGTGAGGCCGAGCGGGGGGTGCAAATAGCGAAAGGAATCCTCCGCCAAGAGGATGTGTTTGCTGCATTAACTGCAATTGGTGTAGCTCTATAGCTCACCACGGGTGTAAGTCCTGCACAGCTGATGATGGGACGGCAGATACGTACCAAATTGCCAACCCGTACTGAAAATTTAAATCCTAAATGGCCAAATCTTAAGAGTGTCAAGATGACAGATGACCAAGCTAAGATGAGCTACCGTCGGTTCTACAACAGACGTCAGGTGAAATCTCTTCCAGAGCTGGGACCTGGAGACATGGTACGGGTAAAGTTGGACAGGGAGAAGGGATGGAAAACACCGGGAGTGGTTGTGAGTCAAGCGACTACCCCACGATCATACATAGTGACTACCGATGGTTCGGCAACAATGCGCCGAAATCGAAGACATCTGAAGGTCAGCCTTGGTGATGATGTGGCAGTTCCTGTGGAATCCCAGGATACACCAATGTTAGAGACAGTGCCATCTTCTGGTTAACGAACTGAGACTCCAGAAGATAATGCACACGAGATGGATGTGGAATCACATTCACCCGGTCCACGGACAAGCGGTCGGGTAGTGCGCAAGCCGTTGCGTTTTCGGGATGATATTGATAAATGATTATTGGTAGCGAGTAGTGTGGTTAAAGTAACCAGTGATTTGTGGAGGTTTAATGAGTTAATGCATAGTGAAGTATTGCGTTACCAGGGAGAAAGAAACGGTTGTATTATTATGTATTATTCGATTCTCAGTTATGTTTCAGAAAATGTTCTACATTCAGTTGAGTAACAGACAATCTCAAAAGGAGGGAGATGTCACGATACTATTCGGTACCATATGAGTAATATAGTGTTAGAGCCACCCGGGAAGGTTCTAAGAATCAAAACTGAAACCGACTTGTTATTCATTATCTGGTTCTGTGTGAGCTGGTTGTGTTATTGAGTGGCTTGTTAAATAAATGTGTTCTGTTCATTAAAAGATATATAGTTCGTGGTATCCTGAACGCGACAAACGCTACGAACACAAACTGGTTTGAAGTAATTAAATCTACGTGCATGGTAGCGATGGTAGCTATACTACAGTATCTAATTAATTGCCTCTTTGGAGACTTTTTCAAATACTGTGCACTGTGCCTGTTTCCGTTGAACCCCGGTGTTGTAAATCTCTTGACAGGCGTCTAGTGATGATAATGATGCACCTTGCGCATTGTTTCCTGGCTGATCCCGATTATTCACGGGGTTATTGGTTAGTCATTAGCTAACGATCGGTGTGGAGAATCACGTCAAAGATACTAGCAATGTCTCGTACACGCGTTTATTATAGTTGAACACAGTG